ATGCCACTATACAATGTAACACCCACTTTTCACTATTTATATTATGAGCCCCATGTAATAGGGGGTGAGCCTATTGCCATATACCGGGCACAATTCCAGACTCCGTGCTACTACTGAGATTTTTTTTAAAACCCAGTAATACTTTGCCCGACCCGGGAATCAAAGACCCCTTGCCCCCTTATATTGGAATTAAGTCACAATTAAGGCATTGCGTTTAAAATGTACTTTATTAGTACATTTTATCCTATTTACTTCCCCAATATTATACGCTAGGCGTCCCAAAGCATTTGTCTGACAACAATAGTTCGGGACACATATTCTGGTTTCAATGCACTAAACACGTGTTGCTCAAGCGAACGAATTCTATTGCTACGTCTAACACATTACAGACTAACAGCACATCAAGTACCCCTCAACCCTTTAATATAATCCCAACTTTATAGCCCAAATTCTAAGGTTGAATATCTTTTAAAGCTAGGAGTAGATTGATAAGCAAGTGCCTTTAGTATGTAATTAGATAGATAATGCATTGACTCTATTAATCGCATATTCAACGAAGGGAAGCCTAATGCAGGTATAATATATTTTGTTTGTTAGTTATCTGTGTTAAAAGATTAAATAATATTGTTTCAGTTTTCATTTAGCAGTGTTTTTTTAAATTTCCTTTTATTAAGTATATGGCCATTAATTGTCTAAGGAAGCATTCTGATCATCCATTATCATGCCGATGATTGTAATGGGGCCTACTGTATTTTTTCTCACCATGTTGTTAGTGTAATCGTCTCGTTCTTCCTTCAATAGGGAAATTATCTATCGGCACACCATTATACGTTTAATATTTGGCAAAATTGATTGATTGGTCAAAATAACTCTTTATTACATTTTGCAAGACACGCCTGCATTGTACAAATGGTCCAAAATAAAGTATTTTGAATGTCAGTTTGTTATATATGTGTGCGTGTGTAATAGGTTTGCGACGTTACCGGACTTAAGGAAATAGCAGATGTCCTTCGTGTCAATGTGTGTATGTTCTGTGTGTACGTCTATAGTAAGCAGGTGCTTCAGTCGTTGTTTCAAAAGACTGTGTCCGCGTTTTTTTCAACGCCCTCGTTCAATGCTTTCTGTATAGATAATATATTGATTCTTCTTTTCACTCGTTTGACTACCGAGTAATTTGTCTAGTATTATTATGCTTAGTAAAATATTTCTTCATTTTTATTAAAGATTAAATATATACTCACGACGTTATTCTTTAATTTGACATAACTTTTTTATTTATGAACCGATTTACATGAAACAAACACTAAAGCATAACTGAAGCATACCACAATACATATATTCGTGAAAACCGCATCCAACTCGGATAAGCCGTTTCTGAGATTAGCTAGAATAGACAAATAGACAAACAGACAAAAAAAAAGTTAATTTCATTTTTGGTTTCGACATCGACATAACAATAACCCCTGCTATTTTTTTTATTTTTTAATTTTCAATGTACAGACAGCACTTTTCTACAATTTTATTATATGTATAGATATAGATATTTCAAAGGATTTTATAATAGGTACTTATATACCTATTTGTTGCCATGACTTCCATACAGAAAAGCTGAAGTAAAGTGAAGCAGTCTAACAGTCTGCGTTCAGGGTCTAGTCTCTAACTACTAACGCAACTTTTCTAGCAACTTTGACGTTTACGTTACTGCTCTTGATAGATTTTGCAACTGCACCTTTCAAGTACAGTTTTATAAAGTAATAGTTCAGTTACTTCGATAAGATCAATATAAGTAATTGAAAAACTTCGCCTCTGAAAAACTGAATATACTCATTACTTACCGTAATTTTTAGCAAGTAGTGTTACAAAATTGTATTTACAAATTAAGCTAGTTGAGGCAAAATGAAGGAAACACATTTAATAGAATTAAATGATAATAAAGTTATTGTAGTTATATTCGGTGCCGCGGAGAACCTAATGGGTTACCGGGGCTCCGGCTCGAAGTGCAGGAGTAGGAACGGGGTGGTTTTTAGTCAATAAGAGTATGACACTCCCTTGCCCCATAAAAAAATTGTAGTTATATAGTTTAATTGTTTCATATACAAGTAAATAAAATATACCTAAAGAAAATAAACATTCTCAAAAAAATTAAAGCATTACTATAAGACTAGGAATTAACTTATTTATGTCATGGAATCATTCCCAATACTTATTATGGACTTAGAATTACAACCATAATGTTATGTGATATGTAGGTATATGAATTCGCAGACAAATTGTGGTATTTAGTTGGCTGAGAGATATGCTAATGCGTGCCGCGTCACGAAGCACACAAGTTCATTGCCACAACGGTCAAACACAAGCGAAAAGCGATTTTGAGTACTTTGACTGCCTCGTTGACTAGTAGTTGAAAGTTCTAAAGGCGACTAAGAGGTCCATAGATCGTTTTTCCTTATATCGGTGCTCCGACATCCCTGGGATAGAAATATTCTAGTAAATAGCACTGAGTTCAGAATCATGGCCGGTACATGTCAGCAGGCTAGTTGAGTGTTATGCACGCTACACACCTTACGGTAAAATTTTAAGGTACATATGTAGCGTGCATTATATTGCATAATAATTATCCTTTGGCCTTCAGAGAATAAAACACGTAATATTGAGTCGCTCTTAATTCAGAATCAGTGCCAAAACTTAGGTTTTTGACGAAAATTTAATATGTAACTAAGATATTGATTATCGCCTATCGTCTGTAACTTGCACCGTGTCTGATAGTAAACTCTCGGTTGTTGGCTCGACAGAGACGTTACCTAACCGTGGTTTGGTGAGTAACGCAACCTTGGTTTACGTGATAACTGATAGATAATGGACCTTGGGAACTACAGTGTCCTGTACTCGTTCTAACATGTTAATTTCGATTGAAGCGACGCTCTCTCTATGCAAAGGGGAGAAGGGAAAAGTCGCTTTTCTTTCTCATCAAATCTAATCATGTCAGGGGCATGCATAGAGATTTTAAGTCGGGTAGGCAGAAAGTCATGCTCCTGCAGTTCTTACTCGACTGCAGAATACGCGGTTGAACCCCATGTGAGGCTAAACAGAATCCCTAGATCATTTTTCTGGAACCTAATGTACCTATGTATGTTACGGGGATATAAATTCTATAAGTTTTTCGCCTAATTTCATTAACTGACCGCTAAAAACAGTACAGTAACATCTTACCTAGTTATATCCATACAACCCTTTACGTTAAGACATTTAAAATTTTATTCAACTCGGAGGAGGTCGGCCTCCCTAATTGTGAAGACAATTAGACGGGGCTGGCTTCGTTAATACGTATCTACCTATTAATGAGGAAACTCTATACCGTTGCCCATTTCTTCATTAATTTATTAATTTTTCATGGATTTTAACGACTTTATAATAATATTTTCTTGTGATTTATTTCGCATCTGAATCTGAATGAGAGCTTACATTTATTTTAGTGATTGTATAATGAAATGGTGCTGGCCTTTTCAGTTAAAAGTATTTTCGAATAAACGAATAATTTAGTTGTATAATTAATACCTTTGGAATAAAACGAGGCCCGTAAATGAAATCGGTAATCTGTATAAAATGTATTTTGGAGCTCCCATTAATAGTTTGTTCGTTCGTTATTAAAATATGGAAAACATACGTATAAAGGTGTGTATTTATGGACATACAAATTAATGAATGATGAAATTAATTTCTGTAAAAATAGTATGGATCGAGGTAACGATGTAAATTAAATTATTTTGGGTCAATTTTTATATTATTTTCAAGTGTTGGTGAGCCATGCTTCGGCACGAATGGGCCGGCTCGGAGTGATACCACGGACAAACTCCTAATTTTTAATTTTGAAAACCTTTTTTTGGTTTATTGGTCTGCGAATAATTTTATGAAACAGTTATTTTTAAATTCTGTCCTCTTAAGATATTACTCGACTTACATAATATTAAAGAATATTTAGAAATTAATTATATAATTGTAAAAGCATTCCCGCTGCAGTAAAAGTGAGAGCCAGAACGCTCTTACTTTATGTCAAAACAGGTGCATTAGTGATATCGACCAAATAAAAAGGTATGTCTCAAAAACCCTCAAGATTAATTATTAGGTCTCCAATAAAGTGACGAATGACGAAGCAAATCAAACCCTCAGGTTCTTAAATTATCTCACCCCTTTAAGTAGAAAAATAAATTTTTACTCGAAAATGATATTCAAATTGAACATAATATAGGTACATAATTAATAAGTACTTTTAGTGTTAATTTCAGTTCCAGTTATAAAACGTAGTAGGTACATAGTTAAAGAAATGAAATGAAATGATATTTTATTACTTATTTATTTTTTAATATTTGATGGGTCGACGTTTTAATTTTGCAAATTACAAGAAGAACTAATACAACAATGAAACATTCAATTAAGTTACATTAAAAAAAATATTCGACTTTAACAGCATTCTATTAAGTCTATAATAATTTAACCTACAAAGTAAAAAAACTCGAGAGTTTCCGTACATCTAGAGCATGATACGAGTATCGACAAGTTAATGACGTATAGCGCTCTGATTGGCCTGCTCGAATGAACCACCCAATCAGTATCAGACGCGGTAACATTTCGATTTTGCTAATCGTAAAACAAATTCGTACTAAGCATTCAACACTCTGTTCCTGATTCATGAAGTTTACGCGTAAATGTTAAACATTGTTTACGTTACGCATTCGTACGCACTCGATCTTGACTTATTGACCTAGTTGTAACAGTAAACTCATTTCCTTTAGTGTTCGTTCAATATCAATCGTCAGACCTACAGGTATTTGAATGTTTATATTAAAACCCTCTAATGTATGTTTATACACGAACTTTATATATGTACTTCTTTAGAATCGTACTAATGCGTAGTTCGTACATTTTTTAAAGATATTTCTAGGTATTTGGTTTCTATTTTAAACGAATGCTACAGGTGATTTTATTCTTCTATCTTCGTTGCCATGGTTGGTTTTGTGGTTAGTTGATGCTACTAACAAGGGTTTAACTTTAATCCTGGATCTAGAGTAGTTAGGTTCTTCGAGTTCGCAATAATTAGATAGCGTATAAAGGAGTCTGGTATGGTTTTAATGTGATCTCATTAGAGATAATCGGCTACAGGAGTCAATTTAAACTGTCAAACACTGCGAGGACACCGGTGTCCGCACACCTTATGTTCTTTAATTGTGTCAATAATGACGGTACTCAAAGGGTTAAAATAAAAATGAAGTCAATCAACATAGGGCCGATTTTTCAATCATCAGTTATTCTTAACTGTAGAATAAAATTGACAGTTGACAGTTTTTAGTATGGAAGAATTGTCAAATATTGAAAGTTATTTCTCATTTTGAGCATTGAAAAATTGGTCCATAATTATTTATCCATATACAGCCTCTTTTAAAACATCAAAACAGAACTGTCCGTCATAACGTTCCAAAATTTAAATTCGTATGGAAAAGAGGGAACAAGAAAATGCTTCGTTACTTTAAAAAGAAAACAAAAAAACGTCAATTTCAAAAATGGAATACAGTTGAGCGAGCCTATAGGTAACTATGAGCTTTAATCTAATGAACAGTAGGTTAAAATTAAAATAGACTTTCCGTCTCATTGAAATATTTCAATTAGCTGCAGCACTAGGAAACTCTGGTAATGATATTGCCAAAACACTAGGACCAATAAATCTTAGCTATAAATGGTTGATGGTATTTTCCGGTACAGAGTTTCATATCAAGGGTGAACGGTTGACGTCACAGTCATCAGTTTTACAAATAAGCTAGCATATTGTGTTAGAAATTTACACCAAAATAGTTTTTGAAAAAATGTTACCATCGATAATAATTAGTTCTTCTTATACATACCTTGTATGTAAAATTCAACTGATATCCAGAGTATTATGACGAACATAAATACTTAAAATCACCGTTTAATATTTTGGCAACGTTGCTAGCCGAGTTTCCGGTAGATTACAAACATTTTGCATAGAAACTATATAACTTCCTTGATACATACAAATATTATTTAACATAAACAACCAAATAGGTACCTACAAACATAATTAGTAACGATTCCGTTGTTTACACATTAATATTTTCAAAATAAAACAAAGGATATTTTCACTTACTGCAATATACTTCGGAGATATTTTAAATAACATTTTGCGTCTACTAACTATTATTTATTCTACTACTATTATTTATTCAATTCTTAATACACCTACTTTAGATCAATATGAGGTGAGTGAGATTTCGATAGATCCAATGTTTCCTCAAAAGATCCAATCCCTAAAAAGCCGGCAACAATCTAGTAACTTCTATATTATTGTGGGTGTATATGTGCAGCGCCGTACGCTCACCATCACGTCCGTCTGCTCGTATGTCACTTTATATTCCATAAAAATGTTATGTAATGATTAATTCATTACTTTGCAAAAAATGCAGTCAAAACAAATGTATTATTACTCAAACTCCTTTCGTAGCGCCCAGCGCCATCTAGTGAGACAAGCACGACGTAGTTTGGTTGCGAAACTCAGTATGGAATAATTTGTCATTTTTGAGTTATTGTGATTAGTTTTCTAGTATTCTTGAATAATGGATAGGTCTACTAATAAGTGCTGAAAAGATCTGTTAGAAAGAGGAAAATGTGGTGTAATAGATAATAGATAAGCTAAAGGCGTTATCATGTCGGTCAAGTAAGATAAGTAGTTGTTTTGAATAGGTGTTCAACTTTGCGCCTACTGACCCACTGTTGTTGCGTTGCTGTGTTTACAAACTCTTTAAGTAGGTGTTACGACTTTTTTCTTCCGGCTCCGATGTATTTTCTACTTTATTGTATATTGTCTATTAGGTAATTCAATATTTTAAATTATTTGCTTTAATTTTTTATAAATGATAGTGTCCTTGAAAATAATGAAATATGATTTGTGATTATTAATCTAAAATTGCTACCAGTTAACTTTTTACAGCAAATATATAAAAATGGACACCTCACAATTGTTATCGACACACACAGCTTAGTGTATCTAAACTTAAATATAACACAGTTTTAAAAATAAAGAAAGCGAGCCAACGGGTGAGTTGGTTGAAAGTGGTCCGTACAGCGTGGACCATTAACTTGCAAGTCTTGTCGTTCTCACCCGACGACGGATCATGTTGGACTAACTAAAATTGCAAGGAAATCCCCCTCGTGCCGAAAGCCCCCACTCTCCCCTAATTGCGGCTCGAGTGTCGATTTATTTGCGAATCATGACTCCCCACAACGACTTAATGACGATTTTACGATCTCTCGTCCGGTCGCCGGTAGTTTAGTTTTTCGGGAGTATCGCTTATGTACATAATTGTATGTTAAACAGGCGCGGGTTCGATTTATGATTGGGTAGTATTTAATGTTTTCCTTTTGGTGGAGTTTTCTTGAGATAGGTTTATTAACCGAGTTCAAAAAAAGGAGGTTCTCATTTCGACCTGTATGACAATGTATGTTATGTTTGTGAGGGATTATCTCGCGATTAGGTGGACCGATTTTGATGAGGTTTACAGAAAAGTGTGTGTTACAATAATTAGAAGAATGATTTAACACCTATTAACTCGTCGAGTACCGGTTTTATAGACACAATTAAAGAACAATAGGTCGCGGTCACCGGTGACCGCTTGGTGTTTGACAGTTTAATTAAACGACTTCAAGAAAAGAGGGGGTTGAAACCGGGTTTTTAAACGTAGGAGTATTTATAAACATTCGTTTTTTATCGTTATACTTTTAGGCACTTCATAAATGTATAATATGTAAATGCATCATTTCATTTCATTTTATTTCAATAAAGTACCTTCGTGCTTATTCTTTCATATTTTCAAATCGCAATACTTTTTTAAACGTATATTCTTGTTGTAGGTAAATGAATCACGTAACGTAAAACTTACATCAGTTGTTTAATAAAACCTTACAGTATTTAACTAAAAATACTCTAAGGGTAAAACAGGGCTTCAGTGGAAAAAGATTAGTTTTGATAAAATATGCTCATAATAGCACCGGATTATAATTAACCTGACACTGAAACTGTCTGCTCAGTGAACATAAAAGTTCACGTGCTAATTCACAGATGGCGCTAGTGTTGACGTTTGTAAAACTTTGTAGGTAACGAATTATTTATTTTTTACACCGAAGTTGAATAGCTGTAAAATAGTTACTTGCATTTAAACGTATTATAATTGAAACCTGAAAATGATACTAAAACTCAATAAAATACAACTTTTTACAAGCATAATCTTACGTAAAGAAATTAAGACGAAAATTCAACGTTTCAATGACAGAATAATTATAAAATAAACCAGGTTAAAACGAGGTTAGCCTGAAAGATACTTATAAAAATAATTTTAATTTATTTTCATAATTGTAGAGACACTTGACATAATTCTCATTATATGACAATAGCTTCGCTCATGTGATAAAAAAACAATACAATCCTCAAAAGGTGAATGTTACGCTCAATATGATAACAATCCACTTTTGCCTAGGTGGGATACCCAACCCAAACAAAAGACGTAATGTTAAATAATACTAAACCTACCTACTTAATCATCTAAGGAACACCAACCACGGTAAAGATAACAATAACAAAACAAACGCTAAAAATAAAGAAACACATTAAACACAAGAAAAATCTTTAAACACGATCAAAGAGATGAAAAGTATATAATATTTATTTTATGAAATGAGCTGGCAAACGAACAGACGGACCACTGATGGTAAGCAATCGGGGTCGCCCATGGACACACGAACATCCGAGACACCAGAGTCGTTACAAGTGCGTTACCGGAAATTTGGGAGTTACTAATTTGACACATACCTAATATACACATTACACAAATAAATCTGTGAACGATTACACGAATTAAATATATCTATTGAGATGATGAATCTTGTATCACTTATGTATCTAATCATTTAAACTAATTTAAAAGAATGACATTATAACGCAATTTAGTCATTATTCCTTTAAGGATAAAGCTCTAATTGTTTCCCAATCTTGACTACTGTGTCTATCCATGACCAATACTCATACCTACTAACTCGTACCTACTGACCTACCAATGAATGAAACACGCTAACGCCCCAAATTCAAGGTCCGTAAACGCGTATCGATCGCCGCGGGTTCCTTCTATTACGCTAATTTCTTTACAAAAATATTGCAATTACTATTTTATTCCTTCTTTAGGTACTAAAATAGATTTTTGTATAAAATAAATCAAGAATAAAAGTGCATGGTGACTTGCATCTGGGTGCATCGTGCGTGTATTTAACGCAGTTGCGTCGATTGCTAATTGAGCGAATATATTCTCAGGTATGATAAAAGAAAAAATAGCTTTTCTGTTTTATCATATAAAGGTGGAGATTACTAAGACGGGTTTAGCAGTTAAAATGAGATCGTTATAAAGGCGGGGCGAGTTCAGCGGTTCCAACCAATCACGAAACACCTATTTACTGATTCCTACATAATCCAAACTGAGGGTCTTATGTATCTAACAAATATTTCTTCACGAAATTGCTTTGGACGGTGACGTAATACGGCGCTCTTACTTATATTATATTGGGTTTAACTCTGCTGCTACGAACTGTGTCTTTAGCCATTTTCTTCACAATAAAATGTCGAAGTGTTTAAACGATTCATTTGCGATATTTAGTGTTAGATGAATTGTATAATTGAACTGTTTGTAATGAAGCGGTTAGATTTTCTCAACAACTGTGATTGTTCCTTGCTTTTGTCCTCTTTGTATTGTGAATCCCAAACCTGGATTCTGGTATATGGAATTACAAACAAATTTCCAATGTGTAGGTAAATGAAGGATACTTTTTTCGTCCCATAATTATTTTCTTTTGCACTCACCACTTAGGTTTTAAGTTCATATAGCAATATCTTATGAGACAATTTTATCGTTACAGGTATCTGCGAATGACCTATACTGGGAAGGCGAAGAGGATGCGTCCAATGAATTCCTGGAAGTTAAACATGAAGACTCATCACTCCTCGGCGGCTTGAGCAGAACGAAACGGCAATGGTTTGACTGTAAGTAATAATAATAATTGTAAATAAACTTTTGATGATAAAAGAGTGCAATTTATTGACAGCAGACATTCTACTGCTGGAGTATGGGCACAGAAAAATTAAAAAGATATTTCTTATTATATCTATGAGTATGAGCCTCCTCCACAATAGAGCAGTTTGCCATTTGCCATAACCTCCACGCCTGCCAAGCTAGTTGTAGAACGCAGCTTGAAAATATACAGTTTATGAGAGAACGCTGCTACCCGGTTTATATATTTTATAGTCCCTTAGTCCACCCAAAAGACACGGTCGAGAAGAGCAGAGGTGGTGGTAATTAGCTCTTAATAAAGAAGGTACCAAATCGAAGTTAATTAATGTATCGTAAATGTTCTAGCTTGGTGGTCTGCTCCGAAGAAAGAGGAAGAAGCAGAGACGGTCACGGAGGCTGATCCCAATGACAATGCAAGGTAAGCACATAATAACAAAACCAAGTTTAAATATTTATAAGTATATCAACTTGTAATTAATTTAGTACAAGTAATAGCTAGAAGTGAAGTGATACAAAATATATTAGAGAATCTGTTTTTTTGTCATTAAAGTGTTTTATAGCTGGGAAAACCCCGGCTGACCTCTCTCTTAAAGAATGTACCAGGAGGTTATTCCCCAACACCAATACAATCTGAATTAAAAAAGAACTTACTATTAATATTAAAACTTATGTCAAACCAAAATCTATTGATTATAATCAATGAAAAAAGATAAGATATTTAAATTAGTTATTTATTTCAGCTGTAAATGTATTGATCAACGTCACATTAAACCTATCTAACCTATTGCTATCAATTCCAATTTCAGTTATGGAAAAGATGATGCTGACGTCGACGTCGGATCCGGAGCACCGGATAAGAGCGAGTTAGAGCCTAAAGAAAGTGAGTATTTCTAATAACATCACACAATTTAAAAAATGCAACCAAAATATATAGGTACTTCATATTCTATGTATATGATAGAATGGCAAACAATAATGAAACACAAAACTTTAACACATTAAATTATTGTAATTAACTTCCAGACTTTGGAGAAAAAACCATACCTACGAATTTAACGCACAACGTTTTACGAAGTTTGCAAACATGAGTCAAAAGAATACAATTGCAAAATTAGATTATAACACAAACAATTCTGAAATAAGCTTGGTTTTATATTATTATCTTCATCATTAGGAGAAATGAACATTTTAATCTAATAAGCCTAAACTGGATATTATTATACCTGAGACCAAAAAGCGTTGGTATTAAAATATTTCCTTTTCCAATTTCCAGAGACTCTTCGTGTCACCTTCTTGGTCATGGAGCCGTACATCACGGCATACTCCAACAGGGACTCGCCTGAGTTCCTGAACATCTCGCGATCGTTAGCTAATGCTGTTGATCTGCTTTTCGAAAGTCTGCCTGGAACCCAGCGCTCAAGCCTAGTCAGGATACAGTAAGTCATAATTTTTACCTAATAAAAAAGCTCTATTGATTGGGATTAGCAATACCAGAATCATCTTGTGTCCTTTATATAAAAGCACTTTTGAAAGATGATAATATTAAAAGCCGGTGTCTATTATCCTACTATCATGGAAATTGATCGACCAGAGAGTTAACTCTTATATACTAAAGAAAAACATATTTCAATAAATATATATATTTATTTTCTATATTAATTTTCAAATTATCAATTCCAGATCCCTCGTCAACGATGATTTCCTATGCAAGGTCACTTTGGACATCGTGACAACCAGAAATGAAGATACGGACACCATCAAAGAGATACTTAGGAATCACATCAAGAATAATGGACGCTTGGGTGAAACATCTGTCAGAGATGGAGACTTCAGCGCTCAAGTGATCGACCCAGGTACGAAAAGAATAAAAGGAGAACAAAATAAAAAAAACACACAAAAGTATCTAAAAACAAATTCAATTAAAACAGTTCTTTTATTCAAATAACTATTAGGCGGTACAATAATATTAGTAATCCAGTACAATGGGATTAGATTTAGCTTTTGCTTTATGAATGCTAAATGAAAAATGTGTGGCCGCTTTACGGTCAATCTCAATAACCTAGTAGTCTTTTGATAGATATGTAGATTTTGAAATAGTCATATTGTTACGTGCCCGATTCGATAATAACAATAACAATTGGCCGTTGCCGGTGGTCTATTACAACTGTTACAACACTTTTCTTTATATTTCTTTTCTTATTTTATGTTACTTTATTTAAGTTAACTTATTTTTTATTTTCCTTTAGGTACAACGTTAGAATGTGATGAAAACGAATTCACGTGCGACGATAATGTCTGTTTACCACTCTCAGTTAAATGCGACAAGCATGCTGATTGCAAAGATGGCACAGACGAACTCGACTGTCCTGAGAGTTAGTATCAACTTTGTAAATTCAATTTCGATAATAATTTTCATCAATATGTAATTAATACACAAGTAAAAGCGTTATTGAACTATCACAATTTTAAAAATGGAAGCTTTATTTTAAGTTTCCTAATATGATAAAGGGCTGCATACTTAATGCTGTACCAAACGCATGCTACATGCAAGAATATTGGCAGTGCAAGAAGATGAAATATTTTTTTTTATTTTATGTTTAATGTAATAAAGCATTGTTGTAAACCTAACCTAAATTGATTGAAATAAAATATTATGCTCTTCTCAAACCCAGCCAGGTTATTAATTATTATTATTTTTTCATTTATTTTATGTTAATTTTTTGTTTCTCATTTCAATTTTAAAGCAACTGAAGCAGCGACGACCAAGGAACCTGAAGACGACTACGATGATAGAGATGATACATTTGACAACCTAAATAATTATGATCAGTACTCGTCTCCATCAGACTATCAGACGAATTATAGCCAACCTGGCGTCACCGATAGCAGTCCATATGAATCAGCGGTTCCAATTTCAGCAATACTGCCTACTAGTACAACTACCGCATCTCCAGATGACTATTATCAAAGTAATAGAGGAGATTTAGGAAATGCCGATTCATCTATTGGTACGCATTTATTATCTATGTTTGTTTTTTTTTTAAACTTTGATTTTTGAACCCCGTACTAGGATTTGTTCCTGTGTCGTGGGAGTACTTACAAATTTATAACCGTACTACACTTGATCACACAAGCTGTTGTTCAGTGTGGTAATTTTTAATTTCTAATTGTTTATTTTCGTTTTTTGTGATTTTTTTCTTTTTGTTTTGTTATTTTTTTTATTTCTATTTTTTAAAGCCACTACCGAAGATCCGACTACGGGGCTGCCAGAGACCACTGTCAGAGTACCTGCTGTCACCGCTGCTGAATTTGGTACTTTTATTTTTTTATGCTTTTATTTTTCAAGGTACGGTACCTACCTGACTAAATAGACATGTAAAAAACACATACAATAAATTATATATATATATTATATCATAAAAAGAAAAAAAAACAACGGTTTATACATATATACATACGAGCCTAGTGTGTTAAGGAATAGGACATTTATTATTAAACGAAACCTATTGTTTCATACAAAAATAAAATTGACCTTAGTGGAAAGTAGCTAAATAAATATTTCTGGAAGTTTCCGACCTCAAGTGTGTAATTTTGGTGTCGATATGCAAATGATATTGTAAAGGAAAAACATGAATCTGTAACTATTCCACTACCTAAAGGCTAAGTACGAGTTTGTTTTAAGGTGCGCTAGCCAGATGTGGATTTGGCTAGCTTATTAGCTAGCGCAGCTTGCGAGCCGTAACATTTTATAAATTGTCAGTAGTAACATGGAGTCTAGAATCGTGCCCGGTATATGGCAATAGGCTCACTCCCTATTACGTGGAACTCATAACATAAATAGTGAAATATAGGTGTTACATTGTAAAGTGGCTTTAAGTGCCGTAATGTGCACTTCTGCCTACCCTTCGGGGATAAAAAGGCGTGGTGTTATTTATTTATTTTATCTTGTATAAGCTGAGCAGACGTGGACGCACCCTTACATTTAAAATCACCGGAACGAGACTACGGTCGGCGCTCTGATTGGCCACCTCTAATGTACCAACCAATCAGAGCGTCGAACGGAGTCTCGTTTTGATTACTTTAAACGTAAAAGAAACTCGTTCACCCAGGTGGGATACATTCGATGATTTTACCCCATTAAAAAAAACCTCTGTAATAGTATCTGGACTACCTGAACAAATTGTAATTGGTCTTCACACGCAACTGTTCGATGAGATTACTCAACCAGTTTCAAACCAAACCAGTATCTCATAATACCATATGCGAACACCCGTGCAGCGAGTGTCAGACGCTTAACTTAATGATAAATTCAATAAGATGTTGGTAGTTTGGTACCTTGCTATCTTGATTAAAAAAAAAAAATGTTGTCTAGAATTTTTTCCTGTGTCGTGGGTGCGTGTACGTTTGTAAGAAGTATAGGTCACATACACATCACACCCAGGCCCGGAACAACAATTTGTGGATCACACAAAGAGATGTTCCGTGCGAGAATCGAACCCGCAATATAAAGCGCGGCAGTCAGTTACCCAGCCACCGCACCAACCGTGCAGTCGTTACCGGTGGGATACTGGTTTTCCGTTTTATTGACGATATTTATTTTATTTTACTGTATTCTTAAAAAATACAATTAATGAGTAGAATTATACAATACGAATAGATATCGATCAATAGAGTTTAGTTATAAGTCCACAGTTGATCACAATTTTTTATAAAAAGTCAGTGCGTTCATTATTAAACTTATAACCTCATAATATTTTATATATTATGAAGTGAGAAGCTAGTGGTACTTAAGAAGAATCAAGACGATCAAGGATAGTCTTTAACGATAATACGGTTTTTACTCTGGTTTTTAATGAGTAGTTCTGTAAATCATAATTGTAGGACTTAAATACATAATATTTTCGGTTCGTAAATATTGAAAAAATGTTCAATAAACACTCCGTTCCTGTTCAGGACACAATCTGCATATAATAAGTTCTGAAAAAAAACTTTATAATTTTTATTTTTCTCTCTGTGCTTCCATAGCCTGCCCCCCAACCTACATTCGGTGTGACGTCATGCGCTGCATTGAACCGAACCGCGTCTGCGATGGAGCCAGCGACTGCACTGATGGAACTGATGAAGCCAACTGCCCCAACCGTAAGTACCTTCTCATTTACAGGTCTATCATCGAAGACTTGAGCAGAAAGTTCTTGAAAGGACTATGAAGAAGGATCAACATGATAATAAGTTTATAGAAGGAGTAAACGAATTAGATTGATAGGCCTGTTAAATTCATACCTGGAAGTATATGGAATCTTACATCATTCTTCCAAAACTTCACTGCTAGTGTTAGTGTTACAGGGATAGCCCCATCTTCAATTACGAAGATAAGTATTAGTTTCGGAAGAACATCACACCACCAATCTACGCCAAAATTATTATTAAACATCAAATTATGTATGTATGGACAAGAAACAAGTACCTATTTAAAATTAAAAGGCCTATATTCAGATCAGTTCAATTGATGTCGTTCAAGCAAGGTTGTCAGTGAATGAAGTGATATTTATGATCATTTGTACTAATGACTCAGCGGACATCTTCAAAGAAACCTGATTTGGAATACGATGACAATATGGAAATTATATAATATTTTAGTTTTGAAAACATAGTATATTTGAACCTTCAAAAAAAAAAGAATTCCTTTTAAAAGGCTTGTGACGCTTCTGCAGTTGTGAGTTACGAATGCCCGTAGGTGGCGCTGCTTAATTACCATAAAGCTTTCCAAAGGCTCTATAGCTTTAAAAGCCATGAGGTAATTGTAGAGATTTTTATGCGTATTCTCTCTTTTATATACCAACATAGTACTTAACCAACTAATAAATCTCAATTGCATGACAACGCTCCTATAAAAGTCTTTTTTCTGCTTCATTTGTAAAAACTATATTGGATGTTTTTTTCGGTTATTCGAAAAAGTTCCAGTAATAATGCAGAGTCTAGAAACTTGCCCGGTATCTAGAAATAAACTCAGCCCTTATAACGTGAGACTCACTAAGTGGATGTTACATTATACATGGACAAGTTGGCTACAAAAGGATCGCTTTTGGGGACCTCACTTTCTCAAAGGTCGGACTGGCGACCACTGAAATAATGTGGCAGTCAACGTAGTTCAAATACCTATAAATAACTCACAAAACTAAGCACTGTATAATAACAAACGAGAACCTATAAATAGGGGTTTGTATAAATAGGACATGCAGTTTCGAGTGCACTCAAACGATATACAGCGATGCGATGTAATCAATGCTGAACGGCTTGCATAATTGCAAACATATGAGTTACGAGAAACTACCGCGGATATACTATCTATGCTTACACCGTCTAACAGCTTTATACTCCTTTTGCAGACAATAACGCTAAATGAATAAAAAAGTATATCAGGTAGAAAATATAGAAAAAAAATCAACAAATTCGATTTTCAAAAAAAAAACATTAGTGAATCCTCTAGTGTGGCCGCAACAGGTTTATCCTCTAGTTGCATGGGAATCTGACCAGAAATGGGTGTTACATTGACGGGTGAAATAATTACTAAATTCAATCTTAGATCGGACTAAGATAGATTTTTGTTCTATGAATCTTTCAGAAACCTGGATCGATTGACAGATTTCGACTTAAGACCGATATTACTTAATTTAAAGGGTTAATGTACATCTGCTTATCTGAATAAGTGGCCTGCTATATCAATAGTAATAATGAACACCATGACACGTATCTTTATGAAGTGCGAGAGACATAAAATGGCGCCAGTTTTAAGTGGCGCTTGCGCTGGTTTTCGTATCATAAAAGTGAACTTATGTAAGTGATGTAACTCGGGAACAGAGTATGTAATTTTCACTAAATAAACGATAAACGGTATTTGTTTGTATCATTATAATGACTGACCATTATAATGGTCAATCAGTTATTAGAATAGTTTTTATTTCTAGATTAAGTAACTACCTCGTTGACTGAGTGGTCGCAAGTACGACTGCAGGACAAGAGGTCTCGGATTAAATTCCCAGGTCGGGCAAAGCTTTATGGGGATTTTAAAAAATTCTCAGTAGTAGCACGGAGTTTGGCCAATGATATTATAGGTAAAACACTTTTTAACTTACTATGAGTTTAGCCATATCAAATTCACAAAGACGGTTCAAAATTTAAATTAATTGTAAAATGTTTAACCAAAACATACAACACAAAGCTACACAAAACAGCCCAAAATCATCAAAACATTTTGAATTTTAAACCAAAATACTAAGGCAGGAAATCTATTTGACACCACAGACTAGCTTGACGCGCTTGTTAGTAATAGGTGCCACAATTTGTTGAAGAATGCATTCGCCCGATTTTGTTAGTGAGATTAGTTCAAGGGGCTCTAGTGTTCCGTTAGTACGTCAGTACTTGACTCGTCTAAACAGTAACGTACGAGTACACTCGCCCACGTTCAAACACTCCAGATTGCAGGGTACTTAATACTTTACATTTAACAGTCGACCTATATGATATAGACTCCTGTTATTTTTGATCCCATTTTCTCGGAACAAAGAGTTTATAAATGATATCCTGCCTTCTTGACAAAATTGGACACTGTTTACGTATTAGGTACCAATTCAGTCCAACTACGGCAACACTTATTGTACATTTCACCGTATTTTTCGGCCTGAATTCGTCAGTCTATCTTAGTCACTATGAAGGTCTTTACGTCTAGACACAAAACAATATGTCGTAATTAAAAAGTCATCTGCAAACATACCACAAATTTTGATAACACTGATTACGGCAACATCTTATTTTAGGAAAAAATGCCGTCTGATGCACATAGTCTTTAAAAAAAAGAAATTTATTATGTCAACTTCCAAATTAATCCTTTGAGAGTACAAAGACCTGATACAGGTCACAGAAAGCCGTTGAACGCAGGTCGCTTCTATCCAGCTGATCTGATATTCAACTGTGAACCTTATCACGAAAACTATAGAGCACCTATTATTACGATCCTAACATAATCCTTTAGCTTCCCTCACATTTATACATCCAACCATACAAAACTTGGTTAATAAAATGTCTTAAATTAAATTTACTAATGAACTGTAAACGTCTACACCAATTTCATGGTAAATTGAACTTAATAACTTTGCATAATTTAATATTTAAAGGTCTATGTCCTGGTAAATGGATAGCCGCATTCCCTTAGCATAAAGACATGGACTGTTCAGGTTTATATTTATAAATAGTAAGCTTCTGTTTATCCCAATGATATTCGATAGCTTTCGACTTGCGTTTGCTTTGATATTATGCTCCTGTAAGTACTTTCAAATATAAATAAACGTGTTTAATAATGTTGTGGTGGCCCGGAGGTTTAAGACGCCTGCCTCTCATGCATGAGGGTTCGAAACCTACCGACGGCAAGTACCAATGTTACTTTTCCCGAGTTATATGTACATACTTTCTAAGATTATTTAGACACCGCTGACAAACGGTGAAGGAAAACATGGGCTTATAATTTTTAATTATAAGTTTGAAGTCGCCAAACCGCATTGAGCAAGCTTAGTGATTAAAGCTCAAACCTTCTCTATGTGAGAAGAGGCCTTTGGTCAGCAGTGGCCACTTATAGACTGTTGATGTGTGTTTAGTTTAAGTACTGATTTTTGTCATTGAAATTATTTAAACTGAAAGAATTCGTTCATAAACTGTAATATGACAATCATTCTTTAAATCTCAGCTAATCCAGGTCTAGTTTTCTTTTGATTTTGAATAGAATAGCAGCAAACAATCTGCCTACCTACGTTATGTCAAAAAATCTTTAGTTGATTGTAGTACAAGACGAACATACCTACATATAACATAACATCACGCCTTTTAGCCCCGAAGCGGTAGGCAGGGGTGCACATTACGGCACTTAATGCCACTGTAAAATGATACACCCACTTTTCACTATTTATGTTATGCGTCCCATGTAATAGGGGCTGAGCCTATTGCCACATTTCCAGACTCCGAGCTACTACTGAGAATTAAAGAAAAAACCAGTAATACTTTGCCCGACTTGGGAATCTCTTGCCCGGCAGACGCACTTACGACCACTCGGCCAATGAGGCAGCAGTACGAGTAGAGTTTTATATATTTTTGTTTGGCTTAGTAACATCTTCATTAACGTTCATCCCAAGTATTACAATCTGAATATTAGTCATCGCTGTGTTGACTGTGACACGTATCTATGTCCCTATTACCATAACATCCGTTATTAAGCCATCCGTACTCTTTTATTATGATGAGTTTAACATTCCGCCTACCAGTTCTAAGCACTGATAATTCTAGGTTCGATTCAGCAGTCTGTCGCTCTTTGGATGTGATAAAACTGAACTTGAAACCCATCGTGATGTTGATTTAAAAGTTACTATTGATATAATGATCGAAAATGGAACTGTATCACAATTGATCTGGATAATAATTGAACTGGATAATAATTATAATCCTGAAGTAATAATGGTAATAGAAATTACAAGGGCATTTTTATTAGGTCCTAGCTGACCCGGCAAACTTCATACCACCTGAAATTTTTTCTCACCTTTTAAACCTTCCCTAGACTTCCACGAACATTTCAAGACGAAAATTTGCCAAATCGGTTCAGCCGTTCTCGAGTTTTTGCGAGACTAACGAACGGAAATTCATTTTTATTTAAATTTAAATCAAAGTTCATCAAATCCACTAAATAAGTCAAGGTCGCTGTAATCAAAATAATAAACACATCATAACACAATATTAACCTACGTCAAATATTTTCTCAGAATTTTAATAGAATCAAATCAGTTTTACTATTGACAGCCTACGAGACATTGTATAATGATGCTTTTATTGAGACAATATGTCTTCTAGGAAGGCAGAGTTCAGCGTTCAAGTTTTTAGAATTGATTTACGATGATTGGCAATAACGTAAGAAAACATACTAGTTACCAGGTTACATGGTGATGGAAAATGCTAAGGACATATAGAAGAGAATTCATAAAAAATTGATCTTGCTAAAACTATAAATGATCTTAAGGCAGAACAATTAGAAACTAAAATCGTAGATGATCCATATGATGTCACCGCTAAAACAGTTTAATCGAATAAAACATAAAATACATTAGTGAATTTATTTTAGTATTACGTCAAGGCTGTTGATGTAATTCTTAATTGTCTCTTGGTCTTGGCG